ATCATTAGTAATTTCATGAAGAAATAATTAGCATGGAAGGCCAAATTTTAGCAAAAAATATATAAAAAAAAGATTAAAAAAGAGGAGAAAAATAACAACCAAAGCAAACCAATGACAGGCCCATTGGGCGAATCAATGGATAAAAAAGTCCAATAGTAAAAAAAGAGCCCTGCATTTGCATTAGACAACCCGGACTGCAGACACAGGAGTAGGGGTTTTCAAATGGTTACCATGGTTATTACCAAACTAAATAAGTTTAAATTTCATTAATCATGGAATACAATATCATAACCAAACCGTCCAAACTAATACAACAACCAAATTAACCAAACTAAAGTTTAATCGGTTTGGTTAATTGGTTAACCAGATTAACCAATATTAAATCACATTATCATTAAGTGAGAAAATTTTCGGTTAATTTATCAATTCACAATTTGTATAATGAATAAAACATAACAATCAACACATAGTTATAGTTGACCCTTAACATAAATACATGTAACTAAGACAATTATCTTACGGTTAGTATAGAAGTATTCACCTAACAAAAAATTATCACAATGGTATGAGTTAATGAATTGTTGTGTTTGTTTGAATTGACTTATTAGTCTTTTAGCAATTTTCATAGGCTGAAAAGAACCTTGCTTTCAAGTTTTCATCAAACATAACATATGAAATTTATCTAAATTAGGCGTTCATATGTTGTGGTCTACACTCTACATATACAAATATACATTATAGGAACAATATCAAATTTTATATTTTATGAGTCTAAAAGAGATGAACTTCTAACTCTTGAGTGGTTATTCATAGTATTAAGTATGTGTATACAATAGTTTAAACAATGTGGCACTCAAGGCTATTACGAAAGCCATAGCTAATAGGTTCAGAAATCTGATGCCCAAGTTGATCTCCCCTACTCAGAGTGGCTTTGTCAAAGGCAGGCAGACTAATGATAATATCTTGAAAAATAGACAGAATCCCGTGGTTTGTCTGTTCCCTTGGTCCGGGGAAGATTGGAGGAAGTCACAAACTGACCTTACAGATCTACAAGTTTCGTGTGAATTTTGTGTTGCAGGTTATATTCTCTCTTTTGGGTGTGTTTCCTCTTCTCAAATAGGGTTGTTTGTTGCTTTACTTCACAATTGCTTATATGATCTTTTTTTAGGTCGAGATGCCCATGTTGGATTTGCCGTAAAAAATAATGGAATCCCAGCAATTCAGAAATCAAGTTTCCTTGAGGCGATTCTGGTTTGGTCTTTGATCTCTCTGCCTCCCTCATGAGTAGGGCTGTCCATATGGTTTTGGTTTTTTGGTTTTAACCGAAACCAAACCAATTGGAAAGCTAATGGTTTTAGTTTTTTGGTTTTAAATCAATAAGCAACTTAATGGTTTTGGTTTGGTTAAAACCGAAAAACCAATAGAAACCAATAAGAACAAAATTATTTATCAACAATTTTTTTTTTGTTTTTGTTTTTGTTTTTTTTACACGCATGCCAACCAATAATTTGTAATGGCCATTTATCATTATTATGACGTTTATTCAATAAAAATGAGGGAAATGAGAATAAATATGAGTGTATGAGTACATGTTGGTTTTTTGGTTATCCAAACCAAAACCAAAACCATTAAGGCCCTTATTGGTTTTTGGCAACCAAAAACCAATAAGAGCCTTAATGGTTTTGGTTTTGGTTTTGGGATTTGGTTTTTGATTTTTGGTTTTTCATATTTAATGGTTTGATTAACCAAACCAAACCAAATTGACAGCCCTACTCATGAGATATTATGTCCTTCATGTGGATTAGTTTTTCTCCTTTTAATTAGTTAGATGGTTTCTTTGTGCTATTTTCAGGAGGTTTAGTGTCGGGCCATTTTTTGTGATGCTCTGCTTCGACTTCTTAAGCAATCCTTCCAGCAATGACAAACATGAAGGTTAAGGAAATTTGCGAAACTAGAACCCAAATCTAGGTATGAGAATTTTGATGAATGACCTTGATGTAGCCCATTTATCTTTATTTCTTCACTTTTAACATGTTATTCTTCTAAGTAGGTTCTTGAAGGAGTAGTCGTATGTATTGTCCACCACTAAATGATGATGAAGCTTAAATATTATTGAATACAAGGGTAAGTCTTACTCTATATCAGTTATGTTTTTCTGACCTGTGCTACTTTGAAAATTTGTTTGTTTTAATCGAATGTTTTCTCCTGTTACACATGAGCATTTGCTGGGTGGATTGGAATTTGTCTGAAGCATCTTTGTTCTTTTGCTGAATCCTCCTTAATGGTTTTTTCGTTGGAGTCTTCTTCTCATTGGTGTTGATCCTTTTTGCTGTTGAAGCATAGTTTTTGTTGAAGTCTCGGTGGGTGGTTTCTCCTTTTGTTATGGTCATTGATTGTCTTGCTACTACCGCTGCATTCTCAATCTGGCTATCCGCTTTAATTATAAAATCTATTCAAATCTACCATGATTTGCTTATGCTGGCTTTGATATTCATTTGTTCCTTTGTATACAGGTAATAGTTGATCACTCGGGTCAAGGTTGTTGGTAAAGGAACTTTGTTCTGCGAAGTTTTGTGCGTGGCTGATAGATGGTTCAGCTCTGGTAGCCATATTTTATTGCTTTGGTTGGTTTGAAGAGCATTTCTTTTGGATAATCAGGTTGTATATTGTGATGAAGTCGAATGAGGATCATGTTTTTGGTGACTCTACAATCAACTATGTCTAGGAATAGCAACTACCTTCACTGCATTTCTTTGAATTCATTTTTCTATGCGCCATTTTGTTGTTCCTTTTGCTGTAGATTAATTCCACCATGTTTATGTATTAATGCTATCCATATTACCTGTAATTAGTTGTTATTGTTATGTTGGATCTTGATATGTTTTAAGGTCTTTCAGATGAGTTTTTATTCTATAAAGTATAAACACATGATTCATTTTTTAGAATGTTGGTACGTGCTCATGATGGATTGAATGTTCAATGTATCCAAGTGTAACAGTCATACTTATACTAATAGAAATTGTAATTAGTAAGAGTTTTTATTAAATGCGAGTTTGTAGCTAGATTTAGAGAAATCCATTGTTAGTTGTATAATATATATACCTAAATTTAATTTGACTTTCGTTTCTTTTGTTGTCAATATGTCTAATAAATGATTTGTGTGATAGTTCAACACATCAAGAACAGTTGATTTAGACTGCGTGATTCAAACCTTTTGTGGTCATATGGGGATGAGAATCAAAGTAGAGAGCATTGTGTACAAAAACTACAACTTGATTCAGTGGTAAAAGCATATTGATCCCATGTGCTAAAGTGATAATCAACTTCAAGGACGAATTTTTTTTACCTAAAAATTAATTTAACAATCCCACATATCCCGACGCAAAGCGCGGGCAAAAACCTCGTATTCATTATGGGGTCGTTTGGAAGTTGCGAATGTTAAATCGTTGCATTGTAATGAATCACTATAATATAAATGCATGTATTGATACAATGGATGCATTTTAACAATACATTGTTTGGTTGTTGAGATTATAATTTTTGCATTAATTTACATAAAGTTACTTTTATGATAAATGTCATATTCACCCTCAACTTTTAGTATAAGACAAAAACTATTAGGGATATAAATGAAAAGAAAAAGTTGACACAAATCTAAAAGCAACAATCACAACAATCTCAACTATTAGTTGAGATTGTATAATACATCATTTTTTGTGATTGTTGGTGGGACCTACCTGCATTGTTTTACACTTTGGCACTTCCAAACATTGTATTGTGCACAATCACAACTTCCAAACGACCCCTATACGTATTTTCGGTTCACATTTCCATTTCCTTTGTCAATTCCATCAATAGTCACTTTTTGGGACATCAATAATACAATAATCAAAACCAATCACCCAAAACTGTAGCGATTGTTGACATCAATAATATAATAATCAAAACCAATCACCCAAAACTGTAGCGATTGTTCATTCATTTTAAATTCTGTTTTTATGTGTAGTAACTAGTAAGGAAGCAATGATTCTTACACACCTTTGTCAATTTCGTAACGACAAAACGACGGCCGGCCGGCCACCCTTTCTAGTTTCTATCATGCAATCGTCGCTATTATAGTATCAACCACCCAGTAGCGTGCCATAGCTGTGGCTGGTCTCTTGTTTCTCTCACTCGTGTATAACAACAACAACAACAACATCACGGCAACAACTTCTTTGTGAAGAAACATGGAGAAGGACTCTACCTCTGCTGTGGGAGCTGATGCGCTAGCGATTCCTCTGCTCACCCCGTACCAAATGGGCAAGTTCCATCTTTCTCATCGGTATGTAGTTTATTGTCCATTCTGTCGAACACCTTCATCCGAATCATCCGATATGGATGCAACTCTTGTTTTATCGTTGAGAACAATCTGGGTACTGCTCCTTTTCGGCTGGTTGAGTAGCTTCTGTTTTGCTGCAATCATCTGTAGGGAAGCTTTTAAGTTAGTTTCATGCTCGACATTTTCGTTCACTGTGTATATGATGTTGGTCCAATGGCTGCTGGGTCTGTGTCAGGATTGTTCTGGCGCCATTGACTAGGCAGAGATCATATGGATATGTACCACAGCCACATGCCATCTTGTATTACTCACAGAGGACAACCAAAGGAGGTCTTCTCATAGCCGAAGCCACTGCTGTTTCGGACACTGCTCAAGGGTAAATTAATTGGCTGCTCGTTCTTAACGCTAATGGTTTTGGTGTGCAACTTTGATATTGTTTTGCCTTCTGTGCTCAAAAGTATAATCTGTATGCAATTTTCTTCTGGTGTGCTGATTCATCATGTGGAAGGTATAAAGATGCTCCGGGAATTTGGACCGAGGAGCAAGTTGAGGCGTGGAAACCTATTGTGGATGCTGTTCATGCCAAGGGTGGCATCTTTTTCTGTCAAATTTGGCACGTTGGAAGGGTTTCGAATGCAGGTGAATCCATTAGTGCGGCTTTTCCTTCTTTACTGATAGTAGAAACGTGATGTTTTAACTCAAACCTTCACCGTCAGATCCTTCATTTCTATATTTCAGAAGAAAAAAACCGTGTTAGATCCGATCTGGTAGAATCAGTGCTTCCTTATTTCAGGAACACTTCCATTAGTTCATACCCATTGAGTCAAGCTGCGTGCTGAGTATGTCTCTTTGTGTTAGCATCTTTGAGTTACACCTAGCATTTTGTCTCTGCAGGTTTCCAGCCCCATGGCCAGGCTCCAATCTCTTGTACAGACAAACCATTGATCCGTCGATCTAATGGTGGTGATGTCAATAGATTCACACCTCCACGACGATTAAGAACTGAAGAAATTCCACAAATTGTCAATGATTTCAGAATTGCTGCCAAGAATGCTATTGAAGCAGGTACTATGCTATGGAATACAAGGTTTGTCAAAATGACAGTAGTTCTCTGATTCTGTAAGAACAGAAATGCTTACCCAAAATCAAATGTTGTTGGGATGAAAATATGAAGGGCTTGCCTATTTTCTCCATTACAGGTTTTGATGGGGTTGAGATACATGGGGCTCATGGCTTCTTGATTGAGCAGTTCATGAAAGATCAAGTGAATGATAGAACAGACCAATACGGAGGTTCTCAAGAGAACCGCTGTCGATTTGGTTTAGAAATAGTTGAAGCTGTAAGCAATGAGATAGGAGCAGACAGAGTGGGGATCAGGTTATCTCCATTTGCACCCTATAACCAATGCTCAGATTCAAAACCAGAAGCTTTAGGCCTATACATGGCTGAATCCCTTAACAGATATGGCATTGCATACTGCCACGTTGTCGAGCCGGGACAAAAGACTGGTGGAGAACAACTTCTAAGCGTTCTTCCCATGAGAAAAGCTTTCAATGGTAGTTTCATGACCTCTGGAGGATTTGATAGGGAAGGCGGGAACAGAGCGCTAGCAGAGAATCGTGCAGATCTTGTAGCTTATGGCCGTTGGTTCTTGGCTAATCCGGATCTACCAAGGAGATTTGAGCTGAATGTTCCTCTCAACCAGTATGATACAAGTACGTTTTACACACCTGATCCTGTCATCGGGTATACAGATTATCCATTTTTTGTTTGAAATGAATCAAGAAGTCATAATTCATGGCTGATGAGATTTGATCTCGCTGCTCCTCTCAAGCAGTATGATGCACGCACTCGTAATTGATGTCTGATGTTAGCAAGTGTTCTAATTCTGTTGAGGCATCAGGGTTTAAACACAACTTTTCTTGCTCTGCTGTTCCATTGAATCCAGTCACAGGTATTCTCTCTTTTCCTCTCTACCTACTCGAGTCATATGAGAATCCAACATGGTACTAGACACTGGTTATAGCAACCCTTGCCGAGCTGGAAATCGAGACGAATTCCAATACGCCAATTATGATAGTAAGTCTTGAGAACCATCCTAGTGTCCATACTACATACAGTACACAGAGCCACTATTTTGGTTAAAAAACTTGCACTCTTCATGCTAAGCTAGTGTTAGATATCCATGGACACCGAGGCAGAATTCTTCCCTCACCGAAGCGGAACTCTTCGGGGGGAAACCGTAAAATCTTAACAACATTACTTATAGATACATGGAATCGAGAGTTCAACAGTGAACACAGCTCACCCAAATCACAAAGATGATTTAAGAATCAGGTTTTGTTCTTCTTGAAAACGACTACATTTCCACTACTGCATTAGGCCGTCGGGGGAACAGCAGTTCAATCAGCGAACACTAAACTGCAAAACTACAACATGCTTTCTTCTTTAAAAGCAGCAGCAGCAACAGAGAATAGAGCTTTATTACACCACCAATGATCGATGTGAAAACCCTTAAGCCGAAGACCCATCTTCGCTCGAAGTTTCAGAAGGAGGCAGCTTCCCAGAGGCACCATTGACAAGCATTTTCTGAATCCTAAAGCTCTCCACCTGACCACCTTCTAAATCCCCAAACAACTGCTTCCTATAAACCTGATGCAATTTCCCAAACAACTCCTTCCTAATCGCTTCAAAAGCCATGTCCAGCCTCTCCAACTGCTCCATAGCATTCGGATTGCACAGAAACAAGCCATAGAACAACTCGAAGCTGTCCCCTGAGGTATTGCCCACCAAATTCAGCAGCGTCTCGTACCCTTTGGTGTTGATCGGAGAAGACTCCAGCCCAAACTTCTCCAACACCCTCCCCATGGCATGGGTCACGAACTGCGAGCCCGCGGCATGTCGATCGTGCTCAGCACAGCTCATCTCCACCATCCTGCACCCTTCTCTGCTAAAAATGTCCAAGAACTTCTCACATTTATTGATCCTATCGTCGCTGTTCCCAATTCGCACCTTATCATACACAAACGGCAACCCGGCCCAAGAATGCTTCCCACTCTCGGGTCCAAACATTGGGTGCGTGCACAAGACATCGAATTCCACGGGCAAATACTTCAGCATTATGGTCTTGGCGAATTCTTTCACGGAGAGCACATCGACGAAAAGGGTATTGCGTTTCAATCTCTGAAAGGGGAAAGACTGGAGTACCTTCTCGGAGGAGAGGATGGATGTGCAGAGCAGTACGACTTCCGGGTGGCTCTCGCAGAGGTCGTGCGGGTTGGAGTAGAAGCGGACGCCGAGGGCGGCGGCGGCGGCGGAGTAGTCGGTGCGAGAGTGGGCGATGATGGTGTGGCCCTGGCGGGAGAATGCTTTGGCGAGGAACTGGCCGTAATTGCCAAATCCGAGGATGGCGATTTTTAGGGATTTGGATTTGAGGTGCTGGTAGCGGAGCTGGGACTCGTAGTCGAAAGGCTGCGCGGCGTCGATGCAGCGGATGCGGAGAGAGACGGTGGCGGCGGCGGTGCAGGTGGAGAGGGAGAGAGGCGATGGAGGAGGGAGAGGGAGAGATATGGAGTGGGAGGAAGGAGGGAGGTAGAGAGGGGAGGAAATGGGAGTAGGAGAGTTTTTGGGGGAGGTGGAGGCGAAGGAAAACGCCGCCGCCATTGTTGTGCCAGAAAGAGAGAGAGACTCGGAAGCAATGCCAGTCACTTCTCAGTTCTCACTTTGTTAATTCGCAGGGGAAATGGAAAAAGCAATTCGCAGATGGGTTCTTTAGGATCTTTAACATAGAGCACGTTTTATAGTTTATAGGTCTCATTTTACAGTGTTTTATGGTCTCAAACATAGAGAACGTTTTGTTCATTACCAAAAAATAATAAAAATATATAGAGAGGGAGAGCACGTTTACATACCGTCCGTTTAACAACTATGTTTTTGTTATCAAAAAAAAAACTATGTTTTTGTTTTCGGGTGAATTGCAAGTTTGGTCACTCATATAATCTATTCGTAACACTTTAGCTACCTAAATCATCTTTGCTTCAATTCAGCCATCAATACTACACGTTTATGACATGTTTGGTCACTCGCCATCTAATTTCGTTAAGTTTGTCCTACATGACGGTCAACAATTATGATTAACTGTTAAAATGCTGACGTTGCAATTAAAAATAAATCAATAATAAATATAAATATTTTTTATACTTGGACAACTAAATCTTTCCTCCGCTGTGATAGAAACATGGTTCTTAGGGCTTTCTATAATTAATTATGGTAGGATCATTATTGTTAGGGTTAGTAGTATTCGAGTCGTATTAGGTTATTTATCAGGTTTATTTCGGTATTTAGCTATATATATGTACTTTGGGTCGTTTACCAGAATAAGCAGAAATTGGTAAAAGAATTATCTTCCCAAACCCTAAGTTCTCCCTATCTCCTAATTTCTCTTCTTCCCTAGTCCAAGGCTTCGGCCGATTCTTTATTCTGCTCTTCCTCTCCTAATTCCAATCTCAATCCCTAATTCTGTTCTTTAATCCCAAAATCCCAATTCCACAATCCGATCGATAGAATCCTAAAAAATAGGTTCTATCACACAGTGGTCGTCGTGGCCACTGCCAAGAAATCACCACCGCCCCAACACCATCGTCATTGCCCTACATCACACCAATCCTCCTCCCCTGGCGCCCACGCCTCCACCGCTTCCTCCACCGCCGGTCGGGAAGTGGAGAACGACAAAGAAAGAAAGAAAACTAACTGTTCCCTCTACCAAAAATAGTTCGGGTTTTACCCATACCCATATCCACATAAAAAAAAACGGGTAGAAAATCCAAATCATGCCCATACCCATTCCGGTTTCAGGTATCCACAGTTATCAATGGGTAATAGTTTTTCTTTATAACTGCAACCAATATGTTAATGTTCGCATGTATTCTCACGTTACGTAAGACGAAAAGTACGACAATAATTCACTAGAATGAAGAAAAATAATTAAAACAACACAATTTCATAAAAAATTTATATTTATATGCTAAATATAAAATATGTTAGAGAAAAATATTGATTATTTCTAGACAAAATACATATGCATGTGTATAATCAGGCGGGTTCGGGTTGGATAGTGAGAAAACCATGTCCACCCATTACCCGCAATATTCGGGTTCGGGTTTTAACCATACCCACTAAAAGTCCTTCGGGTTCGGGTTTTACCCTACCCAATTAGGTCGAATTCGGGCTAATATCCACGGTTACGGATATTTTTTACATCCCTAGATCTGTCGTCATTATCGACATCAAAGGCGGCACGATCGCCTCCTGCACTTGCTTTTTGGACCTGTAATTGCCACGATCGGTGGTCTCGGATTCCTCGCTTTTGTGCAAATTGGGCAGTTTATTGGCGCTCAATAAGTTCCAGAATCTCGACCTGGGTGGAAAGGGGTTGATGAATTCCAAAGGTATCCCGCGTCCCGAACCCACCCGGCGAGGATTACTTAACCTCCTCTGTTTCTCAGTTCAGCTCTTCGCATTCGAGATTTGACGGCAAGATTCAGGTCCAAGCTAGGACAATCACGGTGACTGTAATGGACCCACAAGTCTGCGATGGGAACTACACTAAGAACGGGTGTCGGAGATGGGAAGGACCAGCGATCGTCTGGACATCGTCGAGGTCCGTCTGGCGAACAACAATGTCTTGTTCTACCAGCTGGCGAGCCTCTACGCCGCCACAAAGAAGTCCAGGGAAGAATCGCCGACACCTACAACCGGTTGTGACTTGTGAGTTGTAAAAGTATAAAAAAAGTATTTATTATTTATATATTTTTAATTTTCACATCATCATTTTAACAGTCAAACATAATTGTTGACCGCCACATAGGATAGACATAACGGAACTAGACGGTGAGTGACCAAAGATGTCATAAACATGTAGTATCGATGGCTGAATTGAAGCGAAAGTGATTCGGATGGCTAAAGTGTTGCAAATAGATAATATGAGCGAC